AGCTTTATCCTAAACCTGCCGCCTACAAAACTCTAACCCCAAAAAACCTAACTAAACCTCAAACCTAATCCAGGAATCAAACCTAATACCAAACCTAACCCCAGAATGAAAAATAACCCTAACACCAATCCTAAACATAAATCTTTGAACTAACCCAGAACCTCACTCCAAACGTTGTCACCAACAGAACCCTGAGCTCATTCACAAATTCCTGACTCCTGACTTTTCATAGTTGACGTTGTCTTCTACCGTCAAGACCGTACAACTAGACACGGGGGCGGTTATCTTCCTCCTCTTAAATCCTACCTAAAACACTCTTCCTATTTCATGGATGCCTATTCACTGTTCTCGAGCTTGTGCTGTGCTCGCATTATTCTCTCACCGCAAAGTAATTCAATTAAGGTGTGTGTCTACAGTCCACCAATCTCTTCAGCCAGCCATTATTTACAGCTCTCTGAAATCATTACATTTATTTTTGTTTTGACCCGCCTGGTACTTGAAATCCCGTGGAGCGTATACGTACTCGACCCTTACCCCAACATCAACGCGACAGAGAAGGAGAACGCGACCGGCCACGAAAATGTGTATTAGGAAACTGCAAGTCAAATTAACTGGAAGTAACGCATATTTATAACACCCTACTGTGCTTCGCCGGCATTCGGCCCAATGCCCTTCGAAAAGAACATTCCGGACGAGCCAGTTGATAATTCGAATATTCAGATCGATCAGGCCCAAGAGGAAAAGCCAATGGAGAGGCGCCACGATTAAGGTGGCAGCGCAGTAGAGAACACGAACGTGGCCTCCCGTGATTGGCTGGCTCTTGTTTTTGGGAGTGTAGGCTCTCCAAACTCCTCCTCTCCAAGTAGGCCATTATCACTTCTGGCCTGAGTTCACCTGCATCAGCCGTATTGATCGGCGCACGCGGTTGGTCCGGCGTCTGAATCGTGGTTTATTGCCTAGAGACTCGGGAGCGGTGACTCATACCGAAGGTGGTATATCCGACGGTGGCGCAGCAGTGATTTCGGAAACCGACCGATCTGCCGGAATAGGGAAGGTATCCAGTAGGGTGTCAAGGGGACGTGACGGCGCCGACTCGAGCCCACTTGTGTTACTGCTGTGTCGCCATCGGATCTGTTTGTGGTGGCGAACCCAGATGTCATCACCAATGACGACTTCAAACAAAATACTGCCTCTGTGCGTTACTACGGTTGCAACAATCCAGTGTGGGAACCACGCTCGATAATCCCGAACGAAGACAGGTGTTCCGAAGGAGAGCTTGCTGCGAGAGACTGGAGAAGTCTGCGCGGGCTGCGCACCGGTAGGGACGGATACGCGAAATGTTGTACGCAGTTTCCGGCCTATCAACGTTTCGGTAGGAGAAACGCCACCAGGGGACGCCGGGTTCGGTGTTGTCCTGTTATCTCGTCCGTGGTCCCCACCCCACGAGCTTTCAAGAGAGCTCTCTTAAACGTGTCGGCAAAATGCTCCGCCTGACCGTTAGACTGAGGATGGCAGGGCGGTGAGCGAAGATGCTGGAGGTTGTGCTGGCGGCAGAAATCCTCAAACGTCGACGAGGTAAACTGAGATCCATTATCTGATACCAGGACTTCTGGTAAGCCATGCTGGTTAAAGATGCGTCTTAGGAAGGCGATAGTGGCAAATGCGGTTGCTGGATTCAGCGGAGCAATCTCGGGCCACTTAGAGTAGGCGTCAACCAAGTTTAGGTAGGAGACTCCGTCAAGTGTACCAGCGAAGTCGATGTTCACGCGTAACCAAGGCCTCTCAGGTGGTTGCCAGGGTACTGGCGGTTTACGAGGCGGCATCTTGGTAGTTTGCTGACATCGAGAACAGCGTCAAACCAGGTCGTCGATATCGCCGTCGATACCCGGCCAGTAAGCAAAACTGCGAGCCATTGACTTCATTCGACTGGTACCAGGATGAGCGACATGGAACTGGCGTAGTATAGTGGGTCGGAGGGAAGATTGGATCACCACTCGGTCCGCAAACAGGAGGCAGGAGTCAAACACAGATAGCAATGCTCGGCGGAGGAAGCGCTGGCGAACATCGCCAGCGAGAGCAGTGGTTGGTCAGCAGGTCCGCACGTAGCCGATGGCCCGACGGAGGACAGGATCCTGTTCAGTAGCATGTCGGATGTCCGCGGCAGTGACAGGGATACCTCGTATGGCGTCTGATAGCTGACGATGCACATCGTCCTCACTCGAAATAGCGGCAATCACGGTATCTTCCTCCGGTTCCTGCTGATTGCTGATGAGGCAAGAAAGGGCGTCAGCCTGACCAAAGTCTGTGGTACGACAGTAGCGAATGTCGAAATCGTAACCAAGAAGGATGGTTGCCCATCGCCGAAGTCGGCTGGCTGAGTAGACGGGAATGCCCTTCTTCGAACCGAAGATTGACAGCAATGGTTTGTGGTCCGTCAACAACGTGAAGTGATGACCGTACAACAGTTTGTGAAATTTATTGACGGCAAACACGAGGGCTAGGGCCTCTTTCTCTATTTGCCCGCAGTTCTTCTCCGCAGGGGTTGGCGTGCGAGATGTATGCATGATCGCCTTTTCAGACGCATCAGGAAAAGTATGTGAGATGACGGCACCAACTCCACGGTTGCAAGCATCTGCAGCAACAACGATCGGCAGCGTCGGGTCGTAGTGCGTGAGCAGCAGATCTGAACTCAGCGTCGACTTTAGCCAGGCGAAGGCCTTTTCACAGTCGGAGGACCAGCGCCAGGGAGCACCCTTCTGCAACAGAGGTTGAGCGGAGCCCGTACATCATGCAGCGATGGTAGGAAGGCGATATAGTTGCTGATCAGGTCATGGAACGAACAAAGTTGCGATACATTTTTGGGTTCAGGCATCCGGTGGATGGCCCGAGTGTTTTCAGGATGTGGATGGCGACCAGTGACGTCAAAAACGAATCCGATGTACTTGATGGAGTCGAGGAAGAATTGGCACTTGTCGGCCCGTAGGCGAAAGCCATGTTTCAACACGCGTTCGAGTACTGCGCACACTCGGTCTTGCAGCTCGGCAGAGGAGGGACCCACGATGATGATGATGATGATGTCGTCCAGGTACCCAGCTGTGCCAGGGATGCCGAAGAGCATTGCTTTCATCGTTTGTTGAAATAGGGCCGGGGCGGTCTTGACAACAAAGTGCAGCCTGGTGTGTTGGAACAGATCGCGGTGGGTGTTGATGGTCAACAATTCGCGCGACTCTGGGGCGACCTCGATCTGCAGATACACATCAGCGAGATCCAACTTGGCAAAGCAAGTGCCACCATTCAGCAGGGTGAAAGGATCAGCCGGAACCGGCAGTGGATTGCAGTTCGGCGTCAGTGCGGCATAGAGACCGGTGGCGAAGTCAGCACAAATGCGAATCGAGCCATTTGGCTTCTTAACCACAACGATTGGAGCGGCCCAGGCGGAGTAAAACACAGGGACCAGAACTACCAATTCGTCTGTACGCTTCAGTTCAGCCTCGACAAGTGGTAGGGCTGCATATGGGACTGGTCGCTTTGGACGGAAGACTGGTTGACTTCCAGGAGACAGATGTAGCACGGCTTGAGTGCATGTGCAACGACCCAGGCCGTCTTGGAACACTGGAGCAAACCGTTGGAGAATGTCCTTGGCTTGGTCTGCAAGCACAGCGGGAATCTGCACCTGACTGCAAACAACGCGGAGCGACATATCGGCCAACCCAAATTGTTCAATCCAGTCGAGACCAAGTAGGTTTAGATTAGACTTAGTTATGTAGCGGATCGCAGTGATGCTGGTACCGCGGAACGACGCACAGCATTGAAATTGCCCAATTAGGTTAACGAGACCACCGCACGCGCTTGTGGCGGACTGGGAAGTCTGCAGCATTGTGGGGCTGTCAAGGGACTGCCAGAGTCTCTCAGAGATGATGGTGATATCTGAGGCAGTGTCCAACTTAAAGAAGAAGACACGATCGCCGGGACAAGAGCTTTATTAGCCTGACGTTTCGGATTCTTGCTCGAATCCATCATCAGAGACATAAGCAGATAAGGATGGCTCATGCACATGCGGCTGCAGTATTTATAGGATGCAGTAGCCATGCTACCGCATACTTATGAATATTCACGACTCCCTCCCTTCATCAGGGTTCGTTGTCCGTGGCGTGATGGCAGATATTCGCGTCGTTAATTGCTGCAATTTCATCACGTGCGTTGGATGTTTGTGTGATGATTGCTCGATAGCTGAGCAAGCCCGCGAACAGAGAATGATACGCGACGCAGCACTGGAGAACAAATTTCGAAAGCTGCCCAATCCAACGTCGCCCAGAAACGACAACCTGGTGCACAACCGGTCGTCAAAGGAGCTGACGATGGATCAGATGCAGGTTTTAAGGCACGAAGCTTCATTCAACACGACTGACGCCAAACCTGTTGACATGATTGCAGCAGTGGAATAAATCCTTAGTCAGACGGAGGCAACGGAGGAGACCAAGAGCCTCATCCGACACCAAGTGTCGTCTCTCCTGATGGCCCACAGGCCGCGGGAAGTGCTTTCCAAGGTCGAACGCGATGCGCTTAGAGAACTCAAGGCCGACAAAGACTTGGTCATCGTGCCAGCGGACAAGGGGCGCTCCACGGTTGTGCTGGACAGGACAGACTACCTTCAAAAAGCCAAAGGTTTACTGGAGGACCGACAGTTCTATGTCCCATGTGCAACAAACCCTTTAAAAGCGCTGACACGCGAAATTAATGCTACGTTGTTGGCCTTGGAGAACTCAGGTGCAATAACACCGACCGACAGACGCATGGCGAGACCCAAGATACGGCTTTGGCCCGATTCTATGGCCTCCCTAAGGTGCACAAAGACGGCGCTCCTCTCCGACCCATCGTGTCGCTCAAAGGTACTCCAACGTACGGACTGGCTAAGTGGCTGTTCCGGCGTCTCAAGTTCCTGACCGCTGAGTCAGACACCACGGTCTCTTCGTCAGCGGAATTCCTGGAGAAACTCAAAGGGGTAAGCCTCCATCCAAATGAGGTCATGGTATCTTTTGACGTTACATCCCTTTTTACTTCTATTCCCCAGGACCTGGCGATCGGGACAATTGAGCTGCTACTACAAAGCAAATATGATGAAACGGAGAACCGTCTTGGACACGCCCAAATCCTTCAGCTCCTGAAGCTCTGTCTCAGGACGTACTTCACGTTCAACGGGATAATCTACGAACGGGTGAAGGGCACACCAATGGGTTCGCCGATTTCGGGATTCATCGCCGAGGCGGTCCTGCAACGGTTAGAATCGCTGGTCTTCCAACACCACAGACCGAAATTTTGGGCCCGGTATGTGGATGACACCTTCGTCGTCATCGAACGGGATCAGGTGTTGACATTCCAAGAACATCTCAACGTCGTCTTCCCGAACATTCAATTTGCGATAGAGGAGGAAGAGAACAACCAGCTGGCCTTCCTGGATGTTCTCGTATGCCGCAAAGATTGTGGTGAACTAAAAACCAATGTGTTCAGGAAAGCTACAAATACGATGCAAGTACTGAACTTCAACAGTAACCACCCAATCAGCCACAAACGCAGTTGTGTAAGGACGCTCTATCGGCGGGTCGAAACGCACTACAGTGAGCCGGAAGACAAAGTTGCCGAACTACAATACCTCCGACGGGTCTTCATAGCCAATGGCTACCCGCGCAACTTTGTCGACCGGTGCATACACAAAATGGACGAAAGGCCTAACCGCACGGACACCATAGTTTGGCGTGCGCTTCCATATGTCAAGAACGTTTCGAAAGTTGTTGGCCGCCTTCTCGCACCACTTGGGGTTGGATTTGCACACAGGCCGGAGGCAACCATCAGGCGTCAGTTGATGAAGCCAAAAGACCCACTGCCACGGCAAGAAACGTCTGGAGTCGTTTATCGGATCTGGTGCAGTTGTGAACAAAGCAACTACGTCGGAGAAACCGGAAGACAGCTCCGAACGCGAATGGCCGAACACGCTGCAACAGTGCGGAGAAATGACGCCAGCTCTCAAGTTGCGGCTCATTCGACAGGTTCCGGCCACACATTCAAATTTGACGAGGCCGAAATTCTCGCAAGAGGTGACAACCGCGTGAGCCGGGAGCTGCTTGAGTCATGGCTTACTGGCCCCCAGTCTATTAACAAGTGCAATGATCTTCCCATTCAATACAGCGTGCTGAGACTTCGTCTAAGCGGAGTAATTGGCCATGCGGGGAGCGCACTGTTGAACACTCTTCCCAACACCCGGGTCAACGCGTCAGATGGTCGAGCAATCATCTCACCAACATCCAACGCACGTGATGAAATCGCAGCAATTAACGACGCGAATATCTGCCATCAGGCCACGGACAAAGAACCCTGATGAAGGGGAGGGAGTCGTGAATATTCATAGGTATGCGGTAGCATGCCTACTGCATCCTATAAATACTGCAGCCGCATGTGCATGAGCCACCCTTATCTGCTTTTTTGTCTCTGATGATGGATTCGAGCAGGAATCCGAAAAGTCAGGCTAATAAAGCTCTTGTCCCGGTGATTTGTCTTCTTGAAGACTGCTTCCTGGGACTCGTCTCTTCGCTTCTATTGGCAGTGTCCAACTGTAGACGAACTGCAGGGCCATTGAGCAAAACGTCAACAAATTTTCTACGACCAGATGCATTGAGCTGGAAAGCAGCCAAGAGACTGAGGGAATTACCAAGGAACCGGGGTTTGGGCTTGCGTTTTGGCCGGAAACGGTGCCTGGAATTAGGAGTGGCGGGAGCTGGCTTGCCTCCAGAAGCTGGTACTGATGTGCAGAACCCATCACGGTGCCCCACCTGATTACAAATTTGGCAGCGATGCTGGCGGAAAGCACAATCCCGGTGGAAATGCCACACGCCACAGTGCCGACAAGGAGATGACGGAGATTTCGCCTTGGACACTTGCTTGGGCCGCGATTTGGTCGATGTGACCAAATGAACTGAGAAAGATGAGGCAGGGTTCTGAATCATTGCTGAGTCGTGCTTGAGGTTGATCAGCGTTTGACACTCCTCTGCCAGCTCTTGGAGTGTGGTAGACTCGTTCGGCTGCACTTGGACAGGAGACGTGTCCGGATATCAGCATCCTTGGGGGAATTGAGACCGCAGATAAATATAAGGCATTTAAACTAGTCTTCAGTGAGGGAACCGAGTTGAAACGCCCACAGTCACGACTGACAATGCCCGTATACGTGATGAAATCATCGGAATCTCGTTTGCACATCTGCAAGCATTGAAATCATGTGTTGAAAAGGGATGATTGGTCACCAAAAATCTGCGACAGCGTCTGAACCGTGTCCTTGAAAGTGGCTTCTAGGGGATTCTTAGGGAGAATGAAGTTGGCATAACGCTCGTGTTCAGTCGGACCCGGTTTGCGAGGTAGAAGTCGAACCTTCCATCCATCGTCCTGGGCAGCCAGATCGACAGAGGAAAAGTTCTCGTATCGTTTGTACCAGGAACCGAAAGCGATATGGGCCTGCGGGTCATATAAGAAATCAGTGATGCTGCTGGCAATGTGAACGACAGAATGTGAACCACCAGCCGCGCATGATTCGCCCATGGATGAATTAGATAGCTTGACGGTCGGAGCCTCCATCAGCTTCAGCTTCTGCTGCAGCATTTGCTTCAAGTCGGCGTACTCGTCAGCCCTTGTAGTGGAAAAACTGCGTCGCCAATTTGTTTTGACCCGCCTGGTACTTGAAATCCCGTGGAGCGTATACGTACTCGACCCTTACCCCAACACCAACGCGACAGAGAAGGAGAACGCGACCGGCCACGAAAATATGTATTAGGAAATTGCAAGTCAAATTACCTGGAAATAACGCATATTTATAACACCCTACTGTGCTTCGCCGGCATTCGGCCCAATGCCCTTCGGAAAGAACATTCCAGACGAGCCAGTCGATAATTCGAATATTCAGATCGATCAGGCCCAAGAGGAAAAGTCAATGGAGAGGCGCCACGATTAAGTTGGCAGCGCAGTAGAAAAAACGAACGTGGCCTCCCGTGATTGGCTGGCTCTTGTTTTTAGGATTGTAGGCACTCCCAACAATTTTGCAAGTTGCTTTTGATGTTGAGATAATCATTGAGAATTTTAACGTTCGTGATGTGGATTGGGTTTCGAATATCTGTTCACCTAGATTCCAAGATATAGTCCATTTTTCTAGTTGATCTCGGCTTGTGCGATCTCCTACAAGAGATAATCACACTTTAGAACTTATCATTCCCAACGATAATGTCTCTTTTTGTTACTTTCAAAAAGGAACTTTTTTGGTAGTAACACGTATTAATTTATTGTTGTCCACCCCCTGCCTTTCAAAAAACACCAGCACGGTTCGGTCCCACCTAAAATACGATTGCGTGGACAACTAATTTATAAATAACTATATTGGGTTATTAAATCGGCGTAGCTTTCTCTCCTGTACTTTGTGATCTCCTGCCCAATGCGTTCAAGACGATCTTAGAAATCGTGTCTCGCAGATATCTCACGTCTAACTCTTCGTATTCCTTTGTTCATCACTTTCTTTACAAAGGGCTTAAAAGTTGGGACTGCAGCTTCGTAACCCTTCCACTAGCTACTTATCCGTTTATCTAAGACTCACAGAAATTTTGCAAATGGCCTCGAGTATGTGCAAACAGGTGACATGCGAAAGTGATCCGATCCCTGTGTAATTCGTTTCTAGAATCTTCCGTTATCGTCCCATCCCCGAGTGTGGTCACGAAATCTCCACCTCTGCTAAACGACAATAAAATCTTCTTCATAGTTGACATTGAAAAGTCGGAGCTTTATGTATGTATGTATGTATATTGAAGGGTTACAGGCAGAGCCCTTGATGATCCTATTTATGTACAGTGCTTTCGCAGATTCATACTCAAAAATAAAAATAAATTGCAGGCATTTAAAATGTGATTGGGTCACAGTTCAATCGTAATCATAAGGTAGTGCATGGGGTCTCTGTAAATTAGTGCGGAAGATTGTATATGACAGATTTTACAAAACTGGCTGTGCATAGTCATGCTGTACAAGCCGATTTCTGTCGAAAACTAGACGAGCAAGTTTTCTTTTAAACACACAAACTGTGTCAGCCGTCACCATCTCGTTTGGAAGCGAGTTCCACGGTCTGAGAACCCACTGGCTGAATTAAAATTTTCGTCGGTCTAAACGCGTGCGCTCATTCCCGACTTTGTATGCATGGCCGCGTAGTTGGTTTGTACGGGCGAACTCAAAGAAGTCCTCTGTTCTTAATGAGCAACCCTGGCCGCGAACAATCCGGAAGGTCCAGAGTAGACTGCAGTTTATTTGTCTATAAGAGAGAGGGAATAGGCCAAGCAAATTCAGCCTCTCCTGATAAGACAACTACTTCAGACCGTCGACCATCTTTGTCGCTCTGCGTTGCACCTGTTCGAGTAAGTTGATATCCTTCCTCATCCACGGTGAGGCTGCTGGCATTCCATACTCTAGATGAGGTCTTACAAAGACACCAAAGAGTCTTTCGAAGAGTTCGGGAGGAAATATTTTAAATGCACGTCTGATCCAATGTAGAGTACTACTTGCATTCTGGACCATCTTTCTACAGTGTTCTGATGGCGATAGATTTGTGGTCGTCCATACACCCAGATCTCTGTGTCTTTCCACAGTTTCTAACCTCGTCCCGTCAATATAGTACTGGTGTTTGGGAGAGGCATTACGGCCGGTGTTCAGGTGCAAAACCACGCATTTGGACACGTTAAACTTCAAAAGCCATCTGTTCGACCAAGCACACAGTTTGTTGATGTTCGACTGCAACTTCTCTGCGTCATCATCACACTTGACTTCACTCCATATTTTTATGTCATCCGCGAACATGAGAGCCTCGCAATTCACTTGGCTAATGCAGTCATAAACATAAATCAGGAAGAGTACTGGGCCTAAGACAGAAACCTGTGGGACACCACTTTCCACCTTTACCCATTCCGACGCAGAATTACTAACGACAACACTTTGTAGTCTGGAGGACAGAAAACTCCTGATCCACTTAAACATTCTCCCTTGAATCCCTACATCCCAGATCTTTTGTAAAAGAAGCCTGTGTGGGACACTGTCAAAGGCCTTCTTGAAGTCAAAAAATATGACATCTACTGGAAAACCCTTATCGGTAGCTCTTGTCCATTTCTCGTGCGAGTAAAGAACACTCGTTAGGCAGGAGCGCCCTGGACGAAAGCCGTGCTGTCTACTTCTTCCTTTGCATAACACTTTACGGCTGACTCCGAACTGGTTCTTTTCGTTCGTTCACTTTCAGACAGGGCAATTAATACAATCGATGCCTTGTCCGGTCTAATTAAGAAACACATAAGTCGTCTGAAGAACTCGCACTGCTCGGAGACGGACGAGATTCCAAATTCGATTACTGAACAGGTCTACGACATCCCCATATTACTTTGTCCTTTGTTTTCAGTCTATATGTTTAGCAGATTTTTCCCGGAAACATGGAAGGCGTCAATTAACATTACTGTCTTTAAATCTGGATGTCGGTCCGATGCTAATAAGTATCAGGGCCTGCATAACACACCGTCTCTAGTAAAACTTCCTGAAAGGATAGTTTTTAATGAAATTTTTGATATCTGTCTAGCTAATCAGCTTCGGATTTCTAATCCGCATCGATTTTTACTTGAAACTTTTCACTTTCCTTTTATTAATCAAATCCCTTCTCTTCGTGATGAACATCACCCAGTGATAGTTATCTACTTTGATCTTAATAATGCATTCCACAAGACGTCTTTTGGTGAAATTCGAAGCTTTCGCCGTCCGGCCACGTCTATTTGACGTCATCGGGTCCTACCTAACCAAAACTGCCTGAAAGTCATGGTTGGTAATAGCTTCTCACCACGTCACTCGATCACGAGTTGCGTAGTTCAAGGCACGGTTCTGGGTCCACAATTATTTCTTCTTGGCATCAATGATATTTCGACTAAAACCAGAAATTCGCAAACTCTTATTTATGCCGATGACCTCAAGTGTGTCAATTCATATTCTTATGACGCCGCAAATGTTTGTGTTAAAAGATTTATGCTGATTTACTACATTGAAGCAGATGGAGCTCTACATGGCAGATGGAGATTTTGTTGTCTAAGTATACTTTCATGTCTTTTGGCTACGCAAAGCTTCCTATCTCAAATTTTTTAAAAATAACCCAATCCCAGAATGCCTCATCATAAAGGACGTAGGTTTAATTTATACAAAAAGACTTACTTTATCACTCATGCAAATATAATTTCTGCCAGTGCTGCACAGATATGTGAGTTTGTATCACATGTTTTTTCCCTTCGGAAAGTGAAGCTAAGACTTTATCAAATGTTTGTACTTCTAGTCCTCGAGTGCTGCCAGCCTTTCTTTGGTTTAATAAACGCCTATGACTATCATAATGTCGAAAATGTTTAGATAGTTTCCCCTCGGAAAATCTCCTCCCAAGGTGTATCCGGTATTTCTTATTGTTAGAGACTTAAGCTTACTAACATTAAGTTTTTATGGATTGACGTTTTTACTCCAAGAGATCGGTCGTATGCCAGGCGTAACTCCTTTATGGTGATTCGCCCGCCTATTTGTACCATGTCTAAGCGCTCCCCATTTCTTACCTCCAACTATGCCCTCTTTTGGGATAATCTTCCGCCAGAACTTACGTCATCGTCTTAGTTATCGATTTTAAAATCGAAATTACGCAAACACCTTAAACCGGAAAGTGTAAAGACACTAATGCCGGCTTCCTCCCCCAACACTCATATTCTTGGGATTTATTGGAGATCACTAAATTCACTGTTCTTGTTCCTGCTCCGCAGTCATGATTTTTGCGGTCCTTGATGTCCTCTCCCCATTTCGACCCCAAGCTATATGTGGACTCGCACGTCGGAATCCTCTATATTCGCCATCTACTAGTAGTTTGGTCGGTCTGCAAATAGATCCTATGGACGTATCTCCCTTGCCTCCTCCTCCGCTTGACTCCATACCAACTGTGATCGATAGCGTCTCGGTTCCTCTGTCTCTCTCGTCACTTTGACGCTGACGGCCTGATTCGGTCTAGGAATTCTGTCATAACGACGTCCGTTCCGAGGGTATAATAATCTACTGTATGCAGGCTAGCTCTCTCCGGCCCATGCATTTACCCTACAGTGAACGACAATTATTCCTGCTTAGGAACATAAATGTACCCACAAGGGTGCTCAATAGAGCATTTTCTTATCTATATCATTCCTAGCCTTAATCCTAGCCTTAACGCCAATGCAAGTCATAACACCATACCCAATTCTAGCCTCAAACATAACGCTGACAATTACCCCAGACCCAAACACTAACAGTAGCCCCAAATCAGATCCTGGACATGAACATTAACCCCAGCCTTAACTCTAACCCTGATCCTAAATCCAACTCTAACCCAGCCGTCACCCTAACCCTTGCCCTAACCTTAACTCCAGTCCTGACCCTTACCCCAACCCTAACCGCAGCAACAAACCTAACTTTAACCAAACCATGTGACTAATCCCAGCAGTAAACCTAATCAGGAACCAAACTCCTGCCAAACCCTGTCTCTAATCGCCGACTTAACCACAACCCCAACCCTCAAAATCACTCCAGCGCTAACAGAGTTA